CAACAACAACAGCAACAACAACAACAACAACAGCAACAGCAGCAACAACAACAGCAACCGAACAATCCGTACCAAGGAATGCAGGTAATTTTTGTAACAATGATGTTTAATTCAACGTAGTTGCATGCAAGGAACTTCTTGATTATATGTTGTTATAATAGAATAATGTTTTACATCATGCGAGAAACTTTATGTATTCGTATATCTGTTTTTTGTTTTTTTCGTATTACATTGTAAAATGTGCAAATGAGAATATGGTTAAGAGAAATTGGTGTAATATGAACTTTGATCTTTGAATTTAGCAATTTATATCATGCAAAAAAAACTCAATTGAACGAACATGTTGATTATATCACGTAACAGGTTCTTTCAGGTATTCAAAAAAGAATTGAATTATTAATCTAAATAATTTTTTATATCTATAATTCGTATTAAAATTTTATTCCATTTTAAATTTATTATACAAATATTGTTTACAGATATTTTTATAGATCATTATGTGATAACTAGTCAAAGTTTATTAAACCCATCAAGCTTAAAAGTATACTAAAAATAATATCTGTATAATAATTTTGATTATAATTCAATGATGAAATAAAATGTTCCATGATCTATGTTATTTTAAAAGAATAAGCAAAATATTTGGATTTCGCGGCTGAGATTTTTAATTTTATAAATATTGACAGATGATTTTTGATTGTATTTAGCCAATAGTTACAGTCTAGTCAAGATTAGACAATAACCGTATGATTGAAATTTAAAAAGTAACGGATCGTTTTAGGCTATATAAATGTAAAGATACGAGCGGCGTTTGAGGATGATTAAATTATTAGATCAGATTGTGGTGTAGAATAAATTGAAGATTGGAATATTGTCAAAATTAATTGATTTGTGCTAACTCAAAATTATATATTGAAACAATTATAATATTACGTTATAGAATATATATATATATATATATATATATATATATATATATATATAATCGTCACGATGATAGGTACTATCTTTAAAGGATTAATTATTATTTTTTTTTTTAATAAATTATACATCATTGTTGTGATGATCAACCTTTTTTTAAATGATTAATTATTTATTGTTTTATTAGAGTATGCAGGCAACGAGTCCGGCGAGTGTTGGGAGTCTAGGAAGTGTACAGGGTTCACCTCATCCAACGTCGGGGTCTATGGATCCTCCTGCTGATACACCACCACCTGGATATATCAGTGAAGACGGCGATAATATGGATCACAACGATAATATGTCTTTGTCCCGCTTATCACCAAGTCCTGTAGATGCCCAACCCGTTATGTACTGCGAGCCAGCTTTCTGGTAAATCTCATTAGCATATTTTTTCTCTCTCTTTCTTTCTATCTTTCTTTGATATAGGCATGATCAATTACATTTAATAGATCACTTGGATCTATCTATTCGTCAACATTACGTCATCTAACTTCGTAGAAAATTATTGTCACCATCATATATAATGTTGGAATTTGTTTTCATCGAATATTTAATATTATTTCATTTATTTCGAAAATTATTTTCTTTACAAAATATCCGAGTTAAAAAAGTATTGAAAATTTATTAGAAAAAAAAAATTGGAGTAAAAAAATACGGAAAACAATTAAATTAACGATAAATGATTGGATGTAGAAACATTGTAACTTCGTTGGAAAAATATTGCAGTAAAATGTGCTGACAAACTTGTAATTAGAAAAGATTCGAGTAAAAAGTTAGGAAAATAAATTTTCGTTAAAAAATATCTTAACAATTTATTATAAAATTCCAACATTATTTATAAACAAATTGAATAATTTAAAAAAAAAATATATTAATATTTGAATTTGATGAATGTAGGTGTTCAATAAGTTATTACGAGCTAAATACAAGAGTAGGCGAGACGTTTCACGCCTCACAACCAAGTATCACAGTGGATGGTTTCACGGACCCAAGTAATTCCGAACGCTTTTGTCTTGGTTTACTGTCGAACGTTAATCGTAATACCGTGGTGGAACAGACAAGACGACACATCGGTAAAGGTGTCAGACTTTACTATATCGGTGGTGAAGTCTTTGCGGAGTGTCTCTCAGATTCTAGCATCTTCGTTCAAAGTCCAAATTGCAATCAACGTTATGGTTGGCATCCTGCAACCGTTTGCAAAATACCACCCGGTAAGTTCATTCCAAACTTCAAAATAAAACGAACTATTCAACTAAAGAAAAAATATTTCAATGATGAATTGAATTTTGATAATTTTTCGTTTGGGCCGCATGACTCTTATATATACTTGTATAATTCAAATAGAAAAATATTTTCAATAATTTGAATGTGGAAAATAATAGAATAGACAATTAGTGACCCATGTGACACGATATGTGTAAAAGAAATTGTAATTCAAAATTAAAAGCATTAACAAAGTAATTCATTGTCGGATTGATCTTCGATGATTTTCCACGTTTTATACCACGTGAGTTGTATTACATCCTACAAATTAAATAAACGAAATTGTAAAGTGAACTGTTTGTTTTTCATGCGGTATCTGAATAAAAAAAAAAAATCAAAAAAAAAATTGTAAAAATTTGTTTGTTTTTTTCATTACAGGCTGTAATTTGAAGATCTTCAACAATCAAGAATTCGCGGCATTGTTGTCGCAATCTGTGTCGCAAGGTTTCGAAGCGGTATATCAATTAACGCGTATGTGTACGATCAGAATGAGTTTTGTTAAGGGTTGGGGCGCGGAATATCGAAGACAGACAGTAACTTCTACACCTTGTTGGATCGAGTTACATTTGAACGGTCCGTTGCAATGGTTGGATAGGGTACTCACGCAAATGGGTTCGCCACGTTTACCATGTTCATCGATGTCCTAAAAAAAAAATCGGGTTATTGAAAGAAATAAAAACAAGGAAGAAACAAAAATCAAGAAAGAAAGAAAGAAAGAAGGAAATGAAGACAAAAATAATAATAAGGATGATTACGAAGTTCGTTTTCTTATCGTCTTGTTGTTATCATCGTCGTCGTCGTCGTCGTCGTCGTTGTTGTTAATCGGGTCAGTTTTTCATTTCCCTTTCACGTCATCGATATAATTAAATATGTATCACCTCACATTACCGGGATTTACAACACAACACAGTGAGAACCAACGTAACAACAGCTAGTGTGAGACAAGAAAAAGAAGAAGAAATAAGAAACGAATAAAAGTCCCTGACAAAATGATAGCGCACGTGTATTGTATTTAATTTATAGAAGAAAAACTTTACAATTTTTATAATATAGTTAATAGTGCATAAATTTCATGACGCAAAAAGAAGGATTCTGTTAATAAACAAATAGTTAAAGTTAGACTTTTAATCCTTAACGGACCAATGCCGCCATACAAGCGGCATGGCACTTTTACTTTACTGAGTTATTATAATAATTATTCATTTTAGGCTCTACATAGTATTGTATGATAGTTTTTTATGTAGAATTTGACGCTTTAAAAAGTATATTAAAAAAAAAGTTTTATTCGCCATTACATTTGTTCCATATTTTGTTAAACTATGCGGGGAAACATTTTTTCATACAATGTATATTTTACGAGTTATTTTGAAACGTCACGTTCCGTGATTCACTCTGTATATATTAATAAATTGTCTAAAAAAATATATATATATTTCTAAAAAAATATAAATATCTTCTTTTTTATACTTGTATAAAAACGTTCAGTACACAATTTCTCTTCGTATGAAAAATAGCTTGGACCTGGTAGGAAGTAAATTTGAAATACTTCCGGACTGTTAAAGATTAAATTCAAATATTCTTTCTATCTCGGTTTCACTCAATTTCCTTTCACGACCTATATCGATACTTATTCGAACAAACGTAACATTTGATGTTGATAGTTGAAGAATAGAATATCAACACAAAGTTCAAGCGTGCTATCATTTCGCTTTTAGTATTTGTATCTTTCTTCTTCTGTTTTATTCTGATTCCTTCTTTTTAGCGTCGTGACATTTGTATAGTATTTACTATATCTAGAAATTCTAAGTTGTTCTAGATAAATTAAAGATAGCAGAATATACGAGAGCTATCATTTTGTCTAGGAGTAAGAAAGGGAGAGTTAAAATATATATAAACATAAATAGTTTATCTGCTAAATAAATACGTGATACCGAAAAATGGAAGTAACGAGAAAAATCTACCTACGCCAAAATATGTACGCATCAGGAGTACATAGTCTGTTTTTGTGGTGAGGAAGAAGAATAAGAAAGTAGAGCAGGCTCGATTTGAAGATCTGAGCATAGCAACTATAAAACAATAACAATAATAATAATAATAATAATAATAATAATAATAATAATAATAATAATAATAATAATATAATAA